TGCCTACGTACAATTGCCTTATCATCTATAACCATCTATATTTATCCAACAATTCACTAACAACCACCGTTCAATCTTAAGTCAGTATGCTTAAAAGTATCTGAATCACTATACTGAAGCAATGTTAAGAGTGTGAATCTTAGGTACATTTATACCGACTAAATCCATGATCTTATACTGTCACAGTAAATTCTTGGATTAAAAGCTTGACATTTTTCATCTGTTGCACAGTAGTATCTTCCTTTTGTTTCCTAAAAACTTTTATTGTGTCTGTTACTTCCACTGATATTTTTTTTAGGATGAAGACATGGAAGGACACCTTGAGCATTGTGCATGGAAGTCCGCATCCAGTTATCATGGTTTCTTTTCTTTACTTAGGACTAGAGTAGCTACTATGTTTGCTGTTGCACTTTTTAATATTTTTGGCCAACAACTGTAATATGTTTGGTGTATCCAATTGTATTTATTTTCATATTCGATATCACTCAAGAGTTTCCTTATTTTTCCAGTATCAAATTTATAGAATAATTAGATATATGCCAAACATTAAAAAGTTAAGAGTTTAGAGTTTGTTAAATTATTTGAGTTCTCTTGCTTGAATATAATCTACTAAAGGGATACTCCAACTTTATTTTGAAATAATTCATCCTACTGCCAACTTAGAAAGTTGCAGCAATTTAAAGGCAGATCATTTTAAGAGTACCCTTTTAGTTTTCTATCACCTACTATAATAGAACGAACTCTGGACAAAATCATGTTTGCAGCCATAACAAACTCAATGCATTGATAATTTTTTATTCTTTTTTATTTTTTTTACTTTTCCAAATATGATGAGGCATGGCTATTAGTTCTAAGTCTGTTATATCTAGATCTTGCTTACTTTTAATATGATGAGGATGGTTTCTTGCTTTGTAAATCATGATAAAATAGTTGATTGTTGATTTTTGTAAATCATGATGTGGAGTTTCCTTATTTATTAGTACGTTTCAACCATGTTCATGAAACCGTCATTTTATGAGTCACTTTCCACACATTGTGAAATATGTTTTGACTGATGGATAACAATGTGCAAAATAAGGTGGGATACATGAAAAGGCAATCTATTAATAAAAGTTGCTTTGTTTATTAAGTATGATTGGACGTGTTTCTTGCAAGAGTAGGTATTGTAGGACACATAGAGCATTGTGCGATGTACTCTTCATGTTACATCCTGTCTCTTTGTTTCCCAATATCATAAGGCTATTGCCTACTTAAGACACTTAAACCAGTCCTTATTAGCTTTTACTCCTTGCATGGGATAGTCTTTTACTTGTCACTCATAAGCTGTACCTTCTGTAAAGCATTAAATTCCACTGTACGGCACATATAGCTCACATCTTCACGTGAGAACTTGCTGTAGGTGGCTTCTTTTTGGTTCCCGCCAATCTGAATTCATGTAGTGTCTAATGTGAACTTCCTATTGTGTCCTCCTACATGCCTCTATTTATTCCCCCTAACTGATTTCATTTTGTATCACCATCCCATACTTTCAAACCAAAAAGTATTTGCTTCTGCACTGTCCAACCACCTCCTCTTCGGCTGCTGGAATGGCACCAAGAAAAGGCCATTTGATCAGAGAACTTCATGCTTCCAAGGAGACGTGGACCATTGTTGTAAGGGTTGTAAGGAAATGGAATGTTACTCCTCAAAACAAGCCTTTAGAGGTATTTTTGTATCAACATGATTCTCATTGATGAAGAGGTATTACATTTTCTAACTATTTCACAAATTTCTACATTAGTAGATCATATCCCTTGGCTTAGTTACATGTGTTGTTCAACATATCATACTTATCTAAATTTTCTCCGTTTGTTAGGGTGAGAGGATACAAGCAAGTGTTACACAAAAGCCTCTTCTTGAACGTTTCAGAGATAGGGCTGTTGAGGGAAGTACTGTATCATAGCCAATTTCAATGTAGTAGAGAATAACCAGTACAAAGCAACAAATCACACTTACAAGATCATTTTTAATGCAAACACTTTCATAGATGAAGAGAAAGCAAACATACCATGGAACTCTTCTCTTTTTATGCCTATTAGTGTTTGCCTGAGCAAGAGATTGCACCTGAATACTTGATTGGTAATTTGTTCAAACAATATCTTCAAGGAATTTGTTTTTAAAAATGAATGAGATGTGTGCCCACGAGTTATCTTCTTTACAACCTTCATTTCTGTAATATTCCTTTAAATATGACATTACTTTCTCCTCCATACTTCTCTGCCTTTATACAGATGTTATTGGAGTGTTAAAGTCCATAGGAAAGCTTGAAGAGTACAGGACCGAAAATGGATTCCAAAACAAGCTGACTTTAACATTGGCAGATCAAAAGTAAGAAATTTTTTTAATAGGTGCATGTCTTTTATTCTGCATGACCTAAGAAGCTGTTCCTAACTTATTTCTTTTGCAGTGGCACAAGTATTGTATGTGTGCTTCTTGGAGAGTGTGCCTCAAATACCTATTATAGCTATCTTGACAATGAAAGGTTTCCATTAGTGTTTGTCATTCAACTGTGCCGACTTACTATAGACAACAGTAAGAAATTTTCAACACACTCTTACCTTTGCCTTTTTGACATGAGAAACTAATTTATTTTTCCTGTGCAGAGGAGGTCCAGATTGGTTCATCCTTCAATGCAACAAAAGTGTGGATGAATCCAAATATTAAGGAAGTTTCAGATTTGATCGACAGGTTTAGCAAAAAGTGACCAGTAGCATGAAATTTATTACAAGCACCATTTCTTTAACCCTTTATCCGTTTATCAACATGTCAGTTACATTACAGTGTTTGCATCAACTCTTTTTTGTTTTCCAGTGCCAAGGAAAGCTCATCTCCAAACAACTCTTGCTTCAGCCAAGTTATACCAATTCAAACTACACAACTCTCTGCAGACTCTATGTTGAGATCCACTAAGAAGATTATGATTTCTGACATCGACACAATGAAAGTGGTGACCTCATAAACCTATGTGAATGGTCATGGATAAAGTTTCATTTTTAATGACATGTTACCTTTTTTATTATTATTAGGGTGATCCATTTATTATAGAGTGTGTAATAGAGAAATTAGAGACTAATCCAGGCTGGACATATGAGGGTTGTATCAGATGTGGAACCAAACATAGGCCTAATTCAAAAGGAATTATGGTTTGCCCTCATGCCCCAATGATATGACTCAAACTGAATTAAGTAAATTTGCTAACTTTTCCTACTTTCTTTTCATTTGTGGTTTACATTTAACTCTATTCTCATTACATATGGTTGGAAATCTATTTAATTAGGCTCAAAGCACACTATAACGTGTCTGATGAATCTGGAAATACCTCTGTTGTCTTTTTTGACAAGCATGCGTATGAGTTCACTCTAAAAACTGCTTCTGAGATAAAAGAGCAGCTGCATAAAAGTAATCTCTTAGCACTCATCTCTCTATCTTTTCCAAAATTTAACCACATATTGTCTAACTTATCCTTGAATGCTAGGAAAATCGTTCATATGCCTTCCCAGATGAGCTTGAAGATGTGGTAGGGAGAAAAATGCTGCTCAAGCTCAAGCGTACAAGCTACAATCTTGAACATCCTAACTCTAGCATTGGTGTGGTTCAATACACAGCATGTCAAGACCTTCTTGAGCAATTTAAAGAGGCTTCAGTAGAGGTGAAACAATTGATAGCTATTATGGTTTAAAAGTTTATTCAATAACTGACATGTTGTGCTAAATTATTTTGTATTTTGTTTGGTTTTTTAAAAAATTTTACATTCTAGGAGGGTACCAATTCAGGTCTGGCTATTATGGTCTTAGAGGGTACTATAGTTAAAGAGGGAGTGAATGAGGTATAATGAAATGCAATTTTATATTTTATATTAGTTATGGTCTATGAAAAGTTTTTTTTATGCAATGAATGATTTAGGAGTGCCTTTGTGTGTGTTTGATTATTGCAGGTGGTTCCAACAGCCTCAGACTTTAAGAATAGTCATGAAGAAACAACTATGGGTTCATCTCTTTCCAAAGTTGAACCAATAATGTCTCAGGACATTGGGCTTGATGAAATGACTATATCTCAGCTGTATCCTCCTCCATTGCCAAGAGGAAAGAGGAAGCAATATTTGAAAAAGAGTGCAGAAGTCCAGCAAATTAATCCCCAACCTCAACCATCTACTTATGCCATGCCTAACACCAAGCCTGTCAAGATAATTAAACAAGAAAAACCTTGAGCTTTTTAAGAGCTTGAACTGAAGCATTAATGTCCTTTTTTTGTTGTTTCTGTGTTTTTTTTAACTATTGTTGTGCTTAGTGTTCACTTATCATCTTGCCTTTCCAGATATTAGAATTAAAACAGTTATTATGTTGCTGTTTAAGTTTTATTTCTTTTAGCCAGGAACTCTAATATGTAATGAATTATTAATTACTAATGGCATTTATTTTAAGGTCTGTCAATGCTCTAGGAGCTCATTATTTTTCCTCTACCAATTTCCATATTTTCCAGGAATGCAGTGCTGAAAATAGGACAACTTGATGACTTCCTTTTAAATTTGTGTTGCGTGACTGATCATTTTAGCCCCTAAATGAATATTTCAGTAAACAATAAATAATGTAGATGTATTATACTGTCACAGTAAATGTTGTTTCCCTCACTTGGTCTTTCTATCTCTATCTTTATAAAGGGCAAATTCACAGCTTCTAGACTTCTATAGGTGTGTGTTACACTGTCATAATGTTGCAACAAAATCAAAATTCTCGTCAGTTAAGATGACAACAACATTCCAACCAAAAACATGGCCTTTTGGTATTTTTTTTATGAATTATTATGTATTTTATTTCCTTTTGGTATTATCTAAAATGCAGCTTAAAAGATAATAAAATTCACACCATTATAGAATATGTGTGAAATATGAGTGACCACTTTAAATTCAAAAAATTAGTTATGATGCTTTAAACGTTAATTAAATTTTTACAGTGCATGATACCTACACGTATATTCTCATCCTCCATTTAGACCAAATTAAATCTGGAAAACGCTAATTGATACTGCAATCTTCATAACACTATGACAGATTTGAACAAATTATAAAGTATGAAGAGATATTCTTTTGAACAGATTGGAAGGTATGAAATTATGTCATATAGAATTAATATAGCAATAACTTAAAAAAAAATTCTTCCAAGCCAAATCAAGATGGGAAGTAATTAGAAACAGATCTATAATTAAAGTAAATAAATAAACTGATGCAATTCTAATTTAAAGTAGAAACAACCTGACAGTAAATAATTAAGTAAGTCACCAAAAAAAATCGATTTGATGAAAAATATTGACTCACCCATTAGTGCAAATATTTGAGAAACACATGACGGCAACTCCATTGAACTAATGCAATTCTAATTAAACAAGATATCTGACATCAAATATGTTTTAATATATTGCTAATACACCAGAAACAATGGGCACCGTAAAACATCTTTGCTGTCATAAGTTGTTTGCTAAAACAACAAGTTTTAATTCATAGCCAGTTGTACAAGAAAGATTTTTTTGTTATCCAAAAAAATAAAAAGGGACAGAAAAATAGTAAATAAACTAATAGTAACAGCATCGATATTACTTGCACTGGTATAAAATAAATTAATAACCAGCAGTTAACACCAATACACAGTCAATAGATTTGAAATTTGATAACATCATTACTATTAGTTGCCTACCTGTCACATAAGCCAGACTTTAATTGCTTTCTACATGCTTCATTAAATGCTGTAAGATTCAACTGAACCAGAATCAGTGTATTTCACCTACGCCAGGTGCATTTGTCAGTGTCAAAATGCTTTAATGCAATATTTTGACAGTTAGTCTATGTACAAACACCTCTAGAGTCATGTCACTTCTCTACTTTGTGAAATCAGTAAGAAGAGATAATAAGCCGCATAAGCCTTTTCCAAATGTCAAAGTCATCTAATTAATGCACACAGCCTATTGAGGTTTCCAAGAATCCCTTCCTACCTTAACCTCTTAGCTTCAACCTCCTTGGATATTGTGAACCAAAATCTGAGATTTGAAACTAAGAGCATTTTTCACGTCAACTGATTCAAATATCATTTGTAGTGGTTTTAGAATCAAGAACTCGGTAGAGGAAGTCAAGATGAATTTGCTAAACTCCAATCTAACAGCAGATAAAAAATTCAGATTGCACATTCACTGATTCAAAGTGCAAGCTTAGTAGTTTCTGAATTAAGTCTTAGTACTTGAAGTCAGAACTTCAATACAAGATGTTCAATAGAAAGAGAAATAGTGCAAGGTTATCTGCTATCATGACTTCCACGTTTGAATCACCAGCATCTGAAGACAATGGCACACCAGAACCTGAAGCAGAGAATATACCAAATACAAATCCTTCTCAACTCTTCTCAACCAATAAATCTCCACATCATAGAAAACAGGCAAGGATAAATGCTCTTCAAGACATAACTAATGTAGCAATTAACCTGTCAAAGAAGTTTGGTAATGCTGATGTCGAAGGTATTGTTCTCCCTCCATGGCTTATTATTACGAACTCATGACCAATCCCCTGATTTATTTGTGATTTGCCCAGCAAGTATGAATGCACATCAACTATACCATAAATCAGACTTAGAGCCAATGTTTAAGAGAAGGAGCACCAGATTCTGCACTTTTCAAAACTTTGGCTCCAATGGTGATTTCATTTCCTTTTCTCAATTGCAGAACACTCAAGAACAAGGTACTTCATTCAAAATTTATTTTCTACCTATCGGATGGGTGCTTAAGTGATATTTTTATAGTCATTTCTACTCAATCAGATTGAGTTGAATAAATCAGTATATTCAAATATAAAGGTTGTTATGTGATAATGTAGTTTTTGACAGAATTGCAACTGCTTTACATATGGCTTGCTATTATTTAACCCCTAATTGCATGCAAATCGTGCCACAGTATGAACATTCCACTTGTCATTCCTCTTGCAAATAATGCTTCTGATTAATCTTCTCATGGTCCCACTTTACTATGTCTTAGGACATGATAGATGTGTATGTTAGTGCTAACTTCATTTATTATATATAACAAATTCATTGACATTGTGGATATTGATGTACGGTAGTTCTACTTCATTTATTATGATAAATGCTATTATATTTCTAGGATGGTGATATTCTTTTCATATGGCAATATGCTTTCCAAATGGCTTTACATAATCAATTACATTAACCAGATGTCATACGGCCAATAATGCATGTATTGTGGCAAGTTATGCGGCTATTTTATTGTTCTGCACTTATCTAGACCCCATGTGCTATCCACCTTGTCATTTCTTTATGAGATTATACCCATGGCACAAGTTTTAATGAATTCATGTTGTGGTGATGATAGTTTAGTATATATATATTTTTTGTGTAGTTTATCTTATATATTGTTTTGATAATTCATTGAATGTATCCCACGTGCTATCCACTTCCTTTTGTTATTCACACATGAAAAAACAATAGTATCTTTGTTTTTTTTCCTATGTGGCATGTGTTATAATCAGAAAAGATCAGTATGCCAACTACACAACATTCAAATGCTGTCTTGGAATTACCAGTACATAGAGAACTATCAATAAACCAAGGTTAACCATTAATGCCTCTACATGAATGTTTCATTTTCCAACTACATATTTTGATGTAATTTAACCCAGATTTCTTTACAGATGTAGAAAGAGATTTATACAGTTCTACTACCTCTCACAATGATAGAATTCAAAGACGTACATGGCACAAAAAAACTCAAGCAAATAAATCAGTACAGAATTATGGTAGCACTGGTATTGATTGCTTAAAACTACCTCCTATGTAGCATTCAATTCTGACATTGATTATTCCTTGCAACAAAAAAATTATAATTGCATTATCTAAAAGCATAACAAATATCAATGAGGATGAACATGAATGATATGGCTGAATTTAATTTTCAAAGTTCTAAATATTCAGGTTTGAATTATTCACAATATATGCAAATCTCTTTTTATCAAATTAACTGGATATATGATAAAAAAATTTATATTCAGAGGAGTTATCTACTGATGATGATACCAATCCAAATGAAGACCATGAGTGTATTGTTCTGGCTGGTGTGGCTGAAAGTAATGCTTTAGGTATATCTCTTTCAATATCATATGGCGATTCAATTTTGACTACACTGAATTGATATTAATGTTGTTAATACAATAATTTCAGATTACTTGGATGAGGGTGATCCAACTAATGTCTGCAAGTTTTGCCAAGCTCAAATGTGGTTTAATGAAAGGGCTAAAAGAGATAGAGGCTCAATAACTAATGGGTTTTCTTTGTGTTGCCTCAAGGGAAAAGTGTTATTGCCACCAATGCATTCTCCTCCTCAATTTATAAAGGACTTATTCTTTAACAAAACACTTCCTGAGTCAAAGAATTTTCGCTCCAATATTCGTGCTTATAATAGCATGTTCTCATTTACATCTATGGGTGGTAAGATAGATCATTCAAAAAATAAAGGTGGTGGTCCATACACCTTCATTCTGACAGGGCAAAATTACCATAGAATAGGCAGTCTTTTGCCTATTGAGGGGTCCAGACCAGTGTTCTCTCAACTCTATATTTATGACACGGAGAATGAAGTTTCCAACAGAATCTCAGCCGTTAGGTCAGTTCAAATTCTTAAATTTACATAAATTATTATTGTAATAAAAATCACATTACTAATCCATCCTTCCATTAAATTATGTGCAGTAATTATCAAAGTCAGGAAGGTATTGATCCAGTGATTGTAGACAAGATCCGAATTACTTTGGATGAAGTGAATCCATTTGTCAAACAATACCGTTTGGCATCAGCAATGATTCAAAGTCATCTACCTTATAACATGAAATTAGCATTACTTAGTAAGCGAGATAAGGATGGACGCACATATAATGTACCGACATGCTCTGAAGTTGCTGCACTCATTGTAGGAGATATTGATCAAGCATTCCATCCTAGAGATATTATTGTTGAGGAACTACCAGGCACAGTGCAACGTATCAATGAGTTACACCCATCTTATCTTCCTCTTCAATACCCAATCTTATTTCCACTCGGAGAAGATGGGTATAGAGATGATATATACCATCGAGAAGAGACTCTAGGAACTACAAAGAAGAAGAAAACTGTTAGCATGAGAGAATTTTTTGCCTACAGACTCATGATGAGAGACAATGAAATTTCAACTATACTTCATGCAAGTAGGCTTCTTCAACAATTTATCGTTGATAGTTACACTATGATGGAGTCTCAAAGACTTCATTGGATTAGAACACACCAGAAAGAACTCAGGGGTGACTTGTATCAAGATCTATTAGATGCGATTCTAACAGGGGAAACACAAGCATCTTCAACTGGTAAACGCATCATTTTACCATCTTCATTCACTGGAGGAGCAAGATACATGATCCAGAACTATCAGGACGCGATGGCAATCTGTAGATGGGCTGGTTACCCAGATCTTTTTATTACTTTCACATGCAATCCTGCATGGCCAGAAATCAAACGATACTGCCAGAAATATAATCTTTCCTCGACAGATAGGCCCGACATCCTATGCAGAGTCTTCAAGATGAAACTACAATCATTGTTAAAGACAATCAAGGACAAGAAAATTTTTGGCACCATACGTGCAGGTTAGAACAATATTCCATACATAAGTTATATATATATATATATATTAAATTATTTTAAAAAAATATTAAATTACATTGAGGACATGCTTTTATAATATCTTAAATTTATATACGTCCAATTTATGATTCATACCTTATTGGTAATATATGTTATATTATTTTATGTCTAGGATAAGTAAGATTTAATTTATTTCATGGCATTACCATGTCCTTTTACAATTATTGTTTATTGGTAACATATACTGTAACTATTATATCCTTTTAGAATCATTTTCTACATTTCGCATAACTTATACTACATGTTAAATTTCATAAAATTAAACAATTAAATAATAGGAGAGGAATAAAAAAGATTCTTCGGCTCGGTGAATTTAAATTTCACATTAAGGAAATTTTACAAAATTGCCAATTAAATAAACTTTTTTTGTTAATATGATTAAATGTAAAATAATAATAAATTATAATGAAAATATGATTTTACACTCTCTTACATTTGTATACATGCAATTTATTAATTATATATTATTATGAATAATGATGCATGTAACACAAAATTTTGATGCTCTAAGCTCAATTTCTGAAGATTGCATGAAACTGAAACCACCAATCAAAAAAAAGTTATATCTTATTTTAACGAATTTTAACAAATAATTAATTATATTAAATTTAACAGTGTTATTTTTCATTAAACAAAATTTAAACATTTAAATATATATTGATATTAATTTAGGAGTACTTGTGACAAGCACAATACTGTTAAATCTTATAACAAATTAAAATGGCTATTTTTGGTAACAACAATAATATTAATTTGGATCTCTGTAGGATTATAGATTTTAAACTTTTAAATATACGTAAGATTAAATTTATTACAAATTAAAATTGAACTTCTCATTACTATTGAAATATTTTATTTATATGTTTGTTCATCTTGACAGAGATCTATACAGTTGAGTTCCAAAAGAGGGGTCTTCCACATGCACACATTCTTTTATTCTTACAACAAAATGACAAAATCAAGAGCCCCAAAGAAATTGACAACATAATTTCTTCTGAGATTCCAGATAAGGATTCCTATCCCTTGCTATATGATTTGGTTGGGACATACATGATGCATGGGCCATGTGGTCATAGCAATAAAAAGTCCCCCTACATGAAGGATGGTAAATGTAGCAAATACTTTCCCAAAAAATTTAATGACAAAACAATAGTTGATGAAGATGGCTACCCGACGTATAAAAGGAGAGATGATGGTAGAACAATAGAAAAAAATGGTGTTCCTTTAGATAATCGTTTTGTTGTGCCATATAATTCTTATCTTCTTTACAAGTTCCAGGCTCATGTCAATATTGAGAAAACAAATCAATCAACTTCTATCAAATATTTGTTCAAGTACATAAACAAAGGAAATGATAGAGTTATTGCTTCACTTTATTCAAGTTCTGGTGAAGGGGGCCAATCCATCATTGATGAGATCAAGCAGTACTATGATTGTAGGTATGTCTCCTCTTGTGAAGGCTGTTGGCGAATATTTGCATTTGATATCCACCACAGGTACCCCTCTGTTGAGAGATTAAGTTTCCACCTTCCTAATGAGCAGTACATTGTATACTCTGGTGATCAAGATGTTTCTTCATTGCTTAATAAACCAAGAGTCTGTGAGTCGATGTTTCTTGCTTGGATGAAGTGTAATCAAGATAAGAAAGATAAATTTGCAAGATCACTTACATATGGTGAATTCCTTCAATATTATGTGTGGCAACGGAATAATAGGTTGTGGAAAAAAAGGGAAAAGGGTTTCGCAGTGGGTCGGATAGGTCATGCATCACCAGCATCTGGGGAGAGATATTACCTTCGTATTCTATTGACTAAGGTTAAAGGGCCACGTTCATATGATGAGATCAAAACTGTTGATAATATTGTGTACCCCACTTTTAGAGAAGCATGTTATGCACGTGGACTTCTAGATGATGATAAAGAATATATAGATGCAATTAAAGAAGCATCAATTTGGGCAACAGGGATAACGTTGAGAAAAATGTTTGTCAGCATGTTGTTGTGTTGTTGCCTTAGTCGCCCTGACATAGTTTGGAAAGAAAGCTCCAAGATACTTTCAGAGGATTTGTTTTACATTCCACACAATGATGAAACATACTCAAGTAAATATTAGTCTAAAAAAATTTAAAATTTATTTAATTCACTTATATATATCACATGTTTTTCTTACACTTATTTTTATTATTATTTTATTACAGGTCTGCAAATTTCACAAGAAGATAAAGAAGAAGCTGCTCTCAAAGAGATTGAATCACTCTTACAAAGTAATGGAAAAAGCCTTTCTCACTATCCTTCTGTTCCTAAGCCTAAGAATTCTCCAATTCTAAATTTTGAAAATCATTTGATCATGCAAGAATTAAATTATGACAAAGTTGCATTACAAGATCAATCTGAGAGATTATTACAATTATTGACTGATGAACAACAAGAGATCTTCCAATGTATCATTGCCTCTACATCTTCACATGTTGGTAACTTTTTCTTTGTATATGGTTATGGAGGTACTGGTAAAACATTTTTATGGAATGCTCTAACTACAACATTGCGCTCTAAAGGGAAGATAGTTCTTGCTGTTGCATCAAGTGCAATTGCAGCTACTTTGTTACCATCAGGAAGAACTGCACACTCAATATTTGCAATCCCAATTGATATAAATGAAGATTCAGTCTGTAACATCAGCCAGAGATCCCCACTTGCATATTTGTTGCAACAAACAGAATTAATCATTTGGGATGAAGCTCCAATGATACGTCGCCATTGTATAGAAGCATTTGATCGCTCACTCAAAGATATAATGCATTGTGATCTACCATTTGGAGGGAAGTCTATAGTCATGGGAGGTGATTTTCGTCAAATTCTACCTGTAATTCCTAAAGGTAGCAGGGCAGATATTGTCAATGCATCCATAAGTTCTTCGTACTTGTGGAGTTATTGCAAAATATATAAATTGACGAAGAACATGCGGTTGACATCATCTTCATCCTCTTCTGATCGTGAAAAAATAGAGAAATTCTCACAATGGTTACTAGATATTGGAGATGGCAGGGTTGGAGAATCAAATGATGGCATTGTAGATATTGAAATTCCATCAGAGATATTGATTACTTCATACAAGGATCCTTTGGCTGCAATTGTGTCATCTACATACCCAGACTTATTGGATAATTTGTCCAACACAGCATATTTCAATGATCGGGCAATCCTTGCACCAACTCTTGAGTGCGTTAACCAGATAAATGAATTCATGTGTGGTATTTTGCCTGGTGAATCGGTAGAATATTTCAGTTGTGATTCTGTTTGCAGATCATCACAAGAAAGTGACTCATTCGAGGATCTTTACACTACTGAGTTCCTTAACACAATTAATAGTTCTGGTTTACCTCCTCATAAACTTACACTCAAGATTAGTGCACCGGTAATGCTTCTCAGGAATGTTGACCAAGCGTCGGGATTATGTAACGGTACAAGATTGCGAATCACAAAGCTTGGAAAATGTGTAATTGAAGCAGTGACACTTAATGGTTCAAGCCCAAATCAAAAGGTTCTTATACATAGGATGGATATGAATCCTTCTGAAAATAGATGGCCTTTCCGCATGCAAAGAAGACAGTTCCCAATCATTCTTTCATTTGCAATGACAATAAACAAAAGTCAAGGCCAATCATTGTACAATGTTGGTCTTTATCTGCCAAGACCAATTTTCACACACGGCCAACTGTATGTTGCACTTTCTAGAGTCAGAAGCATAAATGGGTTGAGAATATTGATTCATGACATTGATAAACAAGCTAAGTCAACCACTACCAATGTGGTCTTTTATGAGATCTTTCAAAACCTTCAAGCTATAAATGCATGATTTGTTTATGAACATTGTTTTTTTTTTTGCTGCTTATGTAGTGAATAATGACTTCCTTATTGAACTCTTTTGTGGCCAAATACAATAGTTTTTGTTAAGTATTATCACATTTCTTTCTTCACCACATGCCACATATTATGACTATAATTATATGAACTATATTATCATTACTTAAATTTAATTCTTTTTATCAGGTATACCCGTGCGATGCACGGGATTGTGGCTAGTTACATTCAATAAAAAGACACCTGTATAAAACCAAAAAAGTAAATTAATTTTTTAGAATAGTGACAACAAGTAAGTTTCAAAATACTGATTTAATAATATTTAGGTCTCTCGCAAATTTCTTAAAAAAATTAATTTGTAAATATCAATTTAAACAAATGTATATGAAAATCTAAATTGTAAATTAAAAATAACATTTAAAATATAAATTTTTAATTTGTAATTAAAACTTATAAATTGTTGACCATCTGAATTTATATTTTCAATTAATTTTACAGAAAATTTTATCAGAAATTAAACTATAATTAAATTGATATCTGGGAACCTAATGATCATTTTTCTTTTTCTTTTTTCTCTTTGATTCCCAGAACCGTAAATATTGGATTAATTGTTTCTTTTTTAAAAAAAAAAAAAAAGTGCACCGGGATAGGTCGATGGCCAAAAACGCGGTCAATTTTCTGTTGAACCGCATGGACTGTTTTTCCAAACCCTGAAAGAGAAGCACGGCGGGGGAGTGAGGACTGAGGAGCGAGGGAAAATAATGGCTCAGGTTCTCAACCTAAGCCCACCATTCCCAACTAAAACCAAATCGTTATTTCTTTCTTCAGACACGTCTTGTTCTACCTCTGCACACCAAAGCTGGAGTTCTCTGCAGCACAAACTCCAGTGCAATGGCAGATTCCTCTGCCTGTTCTCCGATAACAAGAGAGAGGTAATCGCACATGTATTGTTGTTTGAGTCATACAAGTGTTGAATTTCGGTATACGATGCCCTACTCACCGGAAATTCCTGCTTGGCGATGTTTGTTAATTGTGATTTTTATTAAAGGACCTTCGTTCTAGATTTGTTCCCCCTTTCTTTGTGGGTTGTTTGGCTGGTGAAATGAAATAAGTATTACGAATTGCTGATCGGTTTGAAAAATGCAGAAATATGCTTTGTTTGGGGTCGAACAATAGCTGTAAATCCTTAAACCTTATCGGTTTCTTTTTGTGCCATTTTTTTTTGGGCCGACAGTTTTTCTTTTTGTTCCATATCATGAATTACTAGATGGAATGATACTCTGCACTATTGCCGTATTGTGACAAAGATGAACCTCTGGGTTTTGTTCTATAGAAGAACATTTTCTCTGAAACACGAATTCCCCTTTCTGTTACCGATCGATTTGTAAATGTTTGAATCCGAAACTGAAGCATGACAAGACTTTTGAACTTCTGATATTAGTGTTTGTGTGTTCGGGATATCAGGATATTAGTGTACAAGGATGTCTTGGGGTCTTGATCCCCAACTGCAGTGTAGTGTTTCATGGGTTTAGGCCCTCCTTTCCGAGCAAATAAAATTATTTGTTTCACTTGTCTACATTCCTTTCTCAACCTATAATTACATAGGGGATGGGTCAAACTGATTTTTGTTTTTCCTGCAAAGGAAGTCTCAAATATAGTCAGACAGACATCTCTTTGGTTTTGTTTGTCCCAAGTATTCAGATAGAATTACTTGAATTGAAAGTTACACACACTCAGCATCCAGTCATGGGCAATTCGGATGAATTAATAGATCCAACGTCCCAATCTGAAAAATGTTTTCTTGGAACCAAGATACCTGAAATGCCATACATTTCATTAGTATGCTATGTTACGTGATTTATATGTTCATGGGCTTAACATTGTCTCCATCACCGAGCAGTTTGTATATGGCTATATTATGTGGTAGCAGTACCCTTGCCACTTAATCTCTATAAAACTCGTGAGATTCTCCATCACTCAGTGTTAGCTCCCCCCCCCCCCCCCCCCTAAATGCAGTGCTGACTTACAGTTCCTTTTTCGTCAGATCTAACAATGATGATTTTAGTTGATAAGCTAGTTGTGTTCATTTATTAGCTTAATTTGGTGTGGTAGCTTCTTCATCTAATGCCAGTACATATGAAAGCAAAGTTTTCATGTTAAGTATGTAATATTGAATAGTGTTGTCGTGTTTGTGAAGGAGAAACATAATCCCTCACTTTGCACTCAAAGTGTTAGGGCTCTGTCCATATATTTGATGTTTAAACTGAAAAATTTGCTTTTGGTGTACGTGTTGCCATTACTATCCACAGTCCAAATGACGTTTATTTTCTCTAATTGCTAACATATATTGATGGAATTTTTAAAATGGTCTGTGCATTCAATTCCTTTTTAGCATCAAAGCAACACTGAAGGAATGAAATGAAATCAAAATGACTGCTAATTCGTATCAAATAAGCAGAATAATTTGTGCTGGTAACTGGATTGGCAAAAAAACAATGCTAATTAGTAAATCTATGTTAATCTTGGTACTTTTGCTGCAGGAAGAGGCTAGAAGAGCATTAGAAGGTGCACTTAGTGGGAAGAAAAATGAATTTGAGAAGTGGAACAAAGAAATCAAAAGGCGAGAGGATTTGGGGGGTGGAGGTGATGCGGGTGGAGGAGGTTGGTTTGGGAGGGGTGGATGGTTTGGCTGGTCTAATGATGACAAATTTTGGCAAGAAGCAAAACAAGCAAGTCTTACTTTGCTTGGCATCCTTCTCATTGTAAGAGGTTTCTTTATTCCCCTGTCAATTCTTATGCCATGGTAGTCATAACTAGAGTAAGGAATGAGAAGTCTCTTCTATGTGCTTTTTCAGTATCTCATAGTTGCAAAAGGTGAGCTTCTCCTAGCTGTCATCTTAAACCCACTGCTCTATGCGCTGCGAGGAACAAGAAATGGCTTCAGTTTCATAACATCAAAAATCTTGAAAATTACCAACGGTGGTAATCAGACCAGCTTTGATGGCATTTTGAAGAAGGAAGACTACCAGCGCCCTTCCGCTAAGGAGAATGTTATAAGGAAATGGGGGAGTGACTAAAAGCTAAAGTTTGTTACAGGGCTGGGATTACTCCCTTCCTATATACAAATCTAACTGTGACAATTATCGCTGTAGCTCAACTGTAATTTTTCCTCATCTGGTAAGAGTTCAATTTTGTGTGCTCCACCATTTCTGTCCGCATGAATTAGCTCAGTTCAACATTGTGCTCGTATATCAAACTGCCTTCTATAAGCTTGCGTTTTAAATGAATTGGGATAAGAGCTTGCATCTCTCTGCAGCATTTTTTTAAGAGGGGATTCCATCTTGTTTATCAATCTGATATAGTCGCACTTCCCATGTAAAAACGTACGACTTTTAGTTGATGTTGAGTAGGTGAAACTTCTAGCCTCTCAATCAATTAGAAGCCTATTCATAATAACGTGTGCATAACAGGGATATTTTTTCATATATCTTGCTGAATTTATCTTACCTCGTGGGAATTATATTGGCCGGAGGGGAAAAGTCATGGGAATTTAACAGAGGAAATAGTAGTTAGGTCTAAAAAAAAACTAATTTAATGATATTCAAGTCCCAGAATATTTTGAAAAGAGTTGCAGACATTTACAGCTGACTTTAAGGATTACAAATATTGAAGTCTCAATTGCATTTTACTAGAAATAAGGACAGGTGACTTTAAGTGATTGGAAATGATGACTCCTAAATATTGACAGCTCATCCTCTTTCAAAATATTTTGAAACGCTGTCGTTATTCTCCATTTAATATGGTTAATACTTTGTTGATACTTTATACCCAATTTCATGGTGTCGAAATTGAGTTTCGAACTTCGAATTCTTGGTATGATGCGGAGTTTCTGCAGACGTTGGAACGTAATGTCAGGTTTGGAACTTGTTAGGCTGGAGACAAGATACAGTTTAACTCCCGTTACATATCCAAAAAGATACTATGAATTGGAAAATGAAGTGGAGGAGGCCCTGCAAGTACAAGCTATCATTAGACAGAGACAGACATGTAGTGTCCATGCCTCTTTAATGTTTGGAGTCTGGTGGCCGAAGTTATTGGAAATGAATAGCTTCATGAGGTAGAACGTGCCACTGAAAATCAAAATTCAAGGGCATCGATTTGGAGATATCAGAGTCATGTGAGCTGTGTGGTATTATAAATTTTGACATGTAGGTGCCTTTATGGGATGTGGCTGTCACGTCCCACCAACGGGCCACCCAGGGAACCACAACACAATACTAAATACTATGTGAGCTGTCATGAAGATTGACATTTGCACGCTTTTCCTTTCCCCTTATTTGGCCTTTTTTGTGTAACTGGTGAAGAAAATGTCGATGATGTTAGTCAAACGCCTCGGCATCCATGACACACTAACGCCACATTTGTTGATTGGCTTATGATTTTGTTTTTTACTTTTGCAATTCTGATTGCCGCCGCCGCACACTATCACGTTCCAAACGCGTCGTCGGAACTTCTAAATTCAACAAGTTGGTAACAGGTTTGGAAGACTAATGGCGTTTCCTCAACCAACAAGTCTGGAAACAAACCACCCCTTGGTTTTCTTCTCCAGGATCACCACTTCACTAGGTTGGGCACCCATGGATTTTTTTGGGTGTTATGAGATTATTTCTTTTTCTTTTTCGTAACTTATAATTTGGATAACTTTTGAATAACTTTTTTTTTTTTGTAAAACATCTTATAAACAGGATTAGAGTAGTACAATAGTTGTAAGTGATTGATAGAATTAAAGCTTCTTTACGTCAATTATTGCATAAAAGATTTGCATATATGTTTTTAGGTCAAACCATTTTAGATGTCGCCTGGCAAAATCAATACAATTATAAAAGGTACAACTTTTGCCAAATAAAAGAGGATCTGCATTTGTCAATGACAGTGATTATTTTACTTTAAGAACTAATAATGATAATTTAAATGTTATTTAAAAAAAAGACTTTT